TACACCCACCCAGTAGGCCTCACCCACCCTGGACACACCCACCTGGCTCCCCAAGGGCAACTGCAATGCTGATGCGGCCCTCAATGAAATTGAGTTTGACACCCCTGTTCTAGGAAGTATCATGGGGCAACTCAATACCTAGTAGCATGGAAACACCTTCCTTCCTCACAAAATTAATGGGCCCATAAATGTCACGTCACAGCACCTAAACTGCTATTGAAGTTTCATACAGAATATCCCAACAAACCAGATTAACCTCTATACCTGTTTTGTTTTCTCTACAGGTGGATCTCTCTTATTTTTAAGGGGGGCAGGGTGTCAGAACCCATTTCATTTCTACTTATCCCCTCTGATCTAAAAACAAATCTCACCTTCTCTGGGTTCTGCCATACTCCCAAGGGGGAGGGGGGATGTGCCTGCAGAGTTATTGCTTTCCCTTCCTTTATTCGCTACAATGTAACCTTTTCATTTATTGCTTCTGTGTCCGCTGCCCACCACAATGTAACAATTTGCTTCCTGCACTGTATCTCTCTCTGAACTTTCTTCTCCCTAACCTGTCACTAGGAAAAGGAGTGGGGGGGAGAAAGAGATACAACATCCGGAGCCTGGCTTATTTCTCTGTTCTCAAAAGGAGGTGTGAAGAGCTGCTTGAACAGCATACTACGACCAGAGCTGGACTGATGTTATCTCTCCTTTCCCACAATGGATTTAACACCTGGGGATTGGCCGGTTTGAACCATCTGGATGAACTGTGGGGTGGAGCTTGCTTGGGGACACTTTAAAGAATCGATCTGCAAAGGAATCCCTCAGATCCTGTTTATTATGCCTGCTATCTACTACTTTTAATAAAAGTTCCTGTTGGAGGAAACAGTCTCCAAGAGTTCTGCTTTCTTAAGATGTGGGATTGAAGTGGATCGTTACACTAAGTGTCACAGGAATCTTTATTGCTCTTGATCTGAGAATATGCCACCTAACAGTACTATGGGTGTTTGGCAGGGTTTTTCTATTTCTAATTTTTTTCAGATCTACAGTAAAACAAGGGATATCTGATGTCAGTTGTATTATTCTATAGTTGAAGAATTGGTGACAAATGAATCTAGCCTTTGATGTAATTTAATGGAAAGAAAGTTGCTATTTGAATCTTTTTTGCCAGAAGTGTACATGATTTAAAATGTAGTTGAGATGGCAGTGATGTAGAGAGAACTGAAGTCTTATAAATTAAAACCCTACATACCAGAAAGGTAGAATACTGTGCATACAATACCACTAATATATTTACAAACAGCAATAAATTAGAAAACTGTAAAATAAAAAAATATTTATATGTGGAAGTTTATTCTTTTCTATCCTGCTTTAATAGTGTTATAAATCATTCAAGGTGGCGAACATATATAATACTCTTTCCTCCTATTTTTCCCACAATAACCCTATGAAATGGATTGGGCTGAGAGAGAGTGATTTTGTCCCTTCTAAGGCATCAAGCCAAAAAAACAGGAGACCATGAGTTCTAGTCCTATCTTGATCAAGTAGCAGTTGAATAACTTTGGATCAGTCTCTCTTTCTCAACCCTTGGAAGAAGACAAATAGCAAACCACTTCTAAAATCTTACCAAGAAAACCGCAGGGATTTATCCAGGTAGTCCAAGTCAACAATGACTTGAAGGCATCATCCATCCATAAATAAACTTCATAGACTTTCTTATATATATGTATGTACTATAAATAAATTACTTATATATGTATTAATGGTGTGATGTATTTTTAAAAAATTCTTTGACTTGGCCTTAGACCTCAATTTTTTAAATAAAATGCCAAATACATATATTAATTTTATTGATTGTCCAACTATATTAGTATTATTATATTTTCTCCATTCATAAGTAAGCAGGTATTAAAGGTAAAGGTTTCCCCTATCCAGTCATGTCCAAATCTAAGGGCAGTGCTCATTGCTGTTTTGAAGCCAAGAGAGCCAATATTGTCTGAAGATGCTTTAGTGGTCATATGGCCAGCATGACTATACCCCAAAGTGCACAAAACAGTTACCTTCTGACCAAAGTATTTATCTACTTGCATTTGCATGCTTTAGAATTGCTAGGTTGGCAGAGCTGGGGCAGGAACGGGAACTCATCCCATCACATGGTACTTGGGTCTTGACCTGCCAACCTTTTGATGGACAAACCCAGTGTCTTAACCAATAGGCCACTGCACCCCTTTTGGCAGGTACTAGGTAATATAAATTAGCTAAGTAAGTCATGGCTCAGAATTCCTCTTTGAGAGATCCAGAAAGGTGAATAATAATATGGTCTTATGTCAACTGTCCAACATTTATGCAAATAAACCCTTGCACATCTTTCTAATAAACAATGTTCACTAATAATGAAAAGTCAGTTGAGCCATAGCGAACTCCCCCTTCCCTCTCAGTGCTAACTTTCAACTCTTTGGTATATTTTTAATTACTTCATTAATGGAAACAAATAGGGGAATATCAAAATAATTCCAAAACTGTGGTCTGTAATAGATCTGGGAAAAATGTGTTGGATTAAGCATGAAAGAGTAATGCAAAAAACAAAAAGGAACAGAAAAAGGAACCTGCCTTGGGAGTAGGGAGGGAATTGGTATCTGGATGAGAAACCAACATCCTTGCAAGCCCTGCCCCAACAAAATAAGAATGGCATAAAGGCAACCATTCTGCCCGGAAATAAAACAGCCTCTAGATGGGGCATTGGGTAAATGCAAACAAAATGGATCATTATGGAAAAAAAAGATGTGAGATGCAACAGGTTCATAGCAAACAATTTGAGATGTGGAAAAATATAACCAGTTTCTGTTCGTTTGGTTTGTATGTTTACTAAATTGGTGTAAATCTTCACATAAGCCAAGGCAATCTACATTTCAGAGCAGAAATGGTTTCTTCCCCCACCCCCTGCTCATCTGGAAAACAATCCCAAAGCCTATTAACAGGTAAGCCCTACCCTCTTCTGCCCTGTCTGAACTAGTTCTACGGAGAGCCCACATGACTTGCCTGTCTGACGTGGCAGAACTGTAGGTACACAACAGACTCGAATCTAACAAAATGAGCGGCTGGCACTGAAACAGGCTGAATGCCATCGTGCTCTGCCTTTGGCAAAGAAGTAGAATCCATTTCGCTTCTTAAAGGTACAGAAGAATCAATTATCCGTTGTCCAAGCGAAAGTGGGTAGTAGCGCTTCCTAGTACGTATGTTTAATAACAGGAACGTTTTGCGGGTCCCCATGGTAATGCTCCTCCACTATAAGATATGGTTAAAAGATACGAAATTTTACTTGTTATAGTTACTGCTTCCTCCTTTAATGGCCGGTGTCCCTCACGTTCACCTGGTCTTGGTGCATCTTAGTGCACAGAAACCTGTTACTTTTGCGGGGTAACGAGCTCACTTTTTACTATAAAACCCCGAAGATGGTGCTACAAGGAAGGACGCATCAGTTTTCAGGTGCGTAGCCCCAACTCTTTCTCCAGCAGGTGCAGTAATAGACGGCGTTTGTTTTACCGGAATCAGAAACAAGTTGAGATAGAAGGCATCGAAATTACTGTGATTTGACTTGAGAACAAAGGTTGGTAAAATCAGATCCAGCCACATGGCAAAAGGGCCATTTGTTTATGGATTGTTGGCGTCGGTCATCTGATTATACGAATTTCTCGGTTGAAGGAAACACAGGCCTCGCGCTCCCATCCCACCCCACCCCCTGAGGCGCACCAGCAATTTGGGAAGGAGGCCTACTATGCCCCTAGTGGCAGTGTTGGGCATCCGCCGCGATAACGTGCGGAGAGCGGAGCGGAACTGGTTTCTCGATTCTGTCACCCAGTTCCATGCTTGTGGATGCAAGCGCACAACCCCAAGGTTTGGATAACTGTAGGGGCAGCTGGCAATAAATCAAATTTCCTGATGCCAAAAGGTGGGCACGTGGTGGGCACTACAGATTTATGGGCGCTGTTGCTATTTTATGAACGTGAAGGAAGCCAGCAAAAAAGGAGCTGCTAATTTTTCAGGCAAGTAAATGGCCGCGAATTCAGGGAGGGAGGGGCAGAGCGATTGAGATGCAGAATGGCGCCCAGGAACTGGGGCTATTTCTGGGACAAACTATTGAGATTCAAGAGATAATCTAGTTTGCCTTGTATGCAGATAAATGTTGTGAGACTACATTTCCCCCCGTTTATGGATTTATCGGGAAAAATGTTAATGTTCCTTCTGGTGCACCACCAATTAGCATCAGGCTTAAGGAGGATGAAGAGTACTTGGCCGTGGATGCCAGTTTTCTTGCAAACGGAAACGATTAAGAAAAGGGTGAATAAAGGAGTCATCCGACCGACCGGTATATTTGGCATAGAATATTGGCAGCCGCTTGGGCAATACAGGCGGTGTCGCTTTGCTTCTGGCCGCTCCTGCAGTTTCCACGAATAGTTTCGACTGGGGGTAGGATTTAATAAACCGGCTTACTGTCTTTCCTCGGTAGCTAGAGGAGGTGATTAGCCGGGAAGGAGAAAGGAGAGTGAGGAGGGGACTGCCTGCAAACCCTGGGCTTTACTTCTCCATATTTCGCTTCTCTTGCACACACGCGCACACATTCACACACGAACATCCATCCAGAGGCAAGAGCGGGTTTAGATACAGCGAATAATTTACCCAGAAGAGCTGACGCCTGCCGCTCTTTTCAACGCGCACCCACAGCGGGAGAGCTGCATAGCTGTATTCTGGTAGCGGGTGAGTGGGGTAGGTTTTCAAAATTGTTTTGATGATTCATAACAAAATAAATCCGCCACAGTCCTGATGGCTGAGATAGAAAATCCAAGCTAAACTGATCTCGATTTCCAGGGAAAGAAAACAATCCGACGGTTAAAGGTGATGTCTAAAGAGGAGAGGCGAACTGGGAGAATGCGGCGAGTTGTTCTCTGTTGGCCACCATTAAGTAAGGAGGAGCTGTAGCTGTGTGCAAGCTGGAGCCGGTCGAATGCATGGGAGGCTGGGAGGATTACGACGGGGACTAAGAACGCATCTTTTACCGCCGTTGTGTATTGGAATGCAAGAGGTGTTCATCGGGCTGATGCTGGGGATGTGGGAATGAGATGATAATCTAGCAAATTTTGAAGATGTTCGCAGAAAAGCGTCTGGTTTACGATACCAGCTGCAGCAGTTACTCGAGAATAAGATGATGGGGAGATCGCGTTTCTGATTCAGGCTGGAGTTGCAGCCGCTGGTGGATCTTATTGGAATTCTAATCTTATCTAATCTCCCTCCAGCTTCTGCCATTCAACAGCTTTTGCTGTTTTAAGAACAAATCTGGACCGTTCTCCTTCCCCTCTTCCATCCTTTTTGCTACACCGTAATTTCGTGGTGAAAAAAATCGGTGGCTTTATAAATCTGCACTGTGTGGATTAATGGATTTAATGGCTGAGAATGGTTAATACAGTGGTCCCCGGTGGACAAGCCCTCCCTCCCGGGTTAGCATAAAGAAAAAACCGAGAGGAGTCAGGGAGAAGGCAATGGTCAGCACTTATTTTTCACCCACTAGTTGGATCGTTGCACATATGTATCGTGTGTATACATTTTCTACTTGGGGATGGCACTCAGTATAATTCAGTGTAAGCACCGTTGAATGTTATTGATTGATATTACCTCTTACTGTTGGCTTATTCGATGCTGGGGCGGAAAATGCTCAGCTTTATCTCCTGAAACATGCAGAATGAGCTGGCAGCAAACCACCTCCCCGCAGGACTTGCGCGATACTTCCACCCCTCCCCCAATCTGGCTAGGCGTTGGCTTGGGGACATCACGTAACTGCTGCAAATCCTTTTCTTTTTTTCCAAATGCGTTTGTTTTCAGTGTGCTGGTAGGAGCATTCTGGGGGGAAAAGGAACACAAACGAAATTTGGCCAGGTACTGTGTCTACTTTTAGTGCTTACTGCTGTGTTTTTCAATATAAAGCACCATCTCCTTCGGAGGTGGCCAGATCATGTATCTAAGATAGAAGGTGTGTTGTGTTATGGCTGATGCTAGAGCAGCCTTAAAATATTGTTCTGGAATTGGTCATGCTGAGAAGTGTTCCAGTTAAATGTCTTTTTGGAGATAGAGAAAATGGAAGTAAGCCAAAAGAAAAGGTGAAAAATACATCGTTTCCTTTTGAAAAAGCATTAACGAAATGAATTAGGTCTGGGTAAGTGAGGATGGAAAGAAATTGGTTTTTAAAAATATGGATCATTAGATATAATAAAAGATGAATAAAAACCTGGATATATTTTAGGTTAATTGTATATGATCACCATGTAAGTGGAATGTATATACATTCTTGACTATTTGTAAACATATCCGTATGTATTTGTGATAAAATTGTAAAGAGACTGGGTGAATAATGAACATAGGGTGGAGGGAGATGGTTTGCAGGATGCAAAAATACACTTGAAAGAATTGCATGCCTAGTGTATACATCTGTCTGACAGAAAAAGACATACTACACATATCAAAATAGATATAATGGTGGAAAATGCTTAAGATGTGCACTTATGTGTAATATAGAGGCATAGTGTGCTTTGATTGTAGGCTAGTATTTATACTACTATTTGCAGCTTGGATTTCTTTTAACCTGACCTATCTTAGAACATGAATTATGTTGCTATATATTAGGATGAGCTGGGTCTGAGAAAGGTAAGCATTAATTACATTTGAAATCTCGTCCAGCCTAACAACCAGGGACAGCTCATTTTTCCAAGGTTAGTGTTGTTGCGTTTCTTATACATTGTCACCTAGTGAGTTACTATAGTAAGAAATAAAACTTGGTCCAAAATTATGTTTTGTTTTCTACTATAAGGATTTGGATTGTGCACAGTATTTTTTCAATTTCCATTAGTATTTTAGGATTTTTATGAATTCTTGAAAATCTTCAATTATGAATACATGTGTTTATCTCTGTTCCATTTATGTTATAAAAATATACATTAACTTTTTCTCCCTTTCAGAGATCTAGATCTATTCTGCTAATGTATAATTGGAGAATTGGTTGGGGAACTGAAATACTAAAATGGCTTATTTTAAAAAATGACAAGATGGAGTATGGCCATTGTCTTGGTCAACTTTCAAATTAACAAATGCAGTAGATTTAAGAATTTAAATGGAAGACTGCCACTGTTCCAAGAGGTACTTTAGTGTAATCAGAAATGTTCTTATGGATTTTGGCAATGAGTTTAATCTCTAAATTGGACTAAATTGTGGAGAAAAACATGAATGTGCATATAAACTACAATCCTGTATGCCAATTTGAAAAAAATATTCACTTGTTTTAAAGGACTTATATAGATCCAAAAGTACTCTCCAAATGGAAATATGATATCTAAATTCACTTAATTTCATGGTTTTATGTTGTGGAGTAATTAGTGGAAATTGCACTATTTAAAGCCTATTTAAACCATTGAGAGTTTATGAAAAAAATTGTAGTTGCTGGAATCAAGAAAATTACAATTGCGTGAGAAATTTTGAATGTTTTATTGGGAGGCATAGTGGCATATGTCATATATTTCTCTCAAAAATAGTAAAGTCACATTGAAATCCTATAAATACTTCCTAGGCAATAAATTCAAATGAACATAATAGGAATTATTTCTGAGCTGACATTTTTAAGATTAATAAAATAAGTGGCTATGCTTGCATAAAACTATTAGATTATTTAGTAAAATAAATTGCTAAAGATGCTGTGTTTCTAATCCTGGTATATTGCTTTGAAATTTTATCCCCAATGATCAAATTTGGCAGAGTATTCTCCCCCTCCCCCCAATTAATAGTGGAGAATGGAAAAGAAAGGCAAACACTGTGATTTAGGGCCATTTTATATTGGACAATGGAAATTGTCTACCAAAATTTACCATTCCCATTCTCATCCTTAAAATTTCTGCAAAGCATGTTGTTGCCTTTTCTTATGAAGACATCTTGCTAGATGTTTTCCTGAGCCCTTCAGAAGATTGGAAGGCTAATTTGTGGCCTCTGAACTCTCATCTTTCCTATTTTATATTAGTGATTACAAACTGTAATGGTTATGCTATGATATGGCATGCATGATTAACTTTTGAAGGAATATTTGATATGTTAGCAATGAATTACATAAAGAATTGGGAGTTTGTTTTATGGAAATAAAGATTTTTAAAAAGTTGTTCAATTCTTTGACATCAAAATTACTTAGAACTTATATGCATAATTTAATTTCTAATATTTCTAATATTTATCAGTATGATTGTGTCTAGCAATATATATAGTAACAGTAAACAATGATGACTTAAATGGGTATAGCCAGTAAACAATGATGACTTAAATGGGTTTGGCTGACATTTGCACATTAATTTGCTTCTTAGCCTGATGATGTTTGGAGTTCCCAAACGAAAGCTCGGCAGCTTTTAGTAAAGTATATTTTTATACCTATATTCTCCTGGTGGTCGCATTTTATTTATACTATAAACATGCCCAGGAGTTGTATTTTTATGGAAATTTCTCTCTCTCTCTCTCTCTCTCTCTCTCTCTCTCTCTCTCTCTCTCTCTCTCTCTCTATATATATATATATATATATATATATATATATATATATTAGCATCAATTTTCATGTTTGATGTTAAAATATATAATATAATATTAAAATATATATATTGAACTTATACTAGTGGCTGTTTGTATCCTCACCAAGGACAAGTTATCATTTAAATTGTTATGTTCACTTGAATTGGAACTTGCTGTATATAGGTCCTTCTTTCCTTCCTTCCTTCCTTGTGCCATTCTTCTCAATCGGTTTGTTTCTTCCATGACAATTTCTATATTTCCTGTCAATAATGTATTGGGAATACATTATATGTGATGAATTCATATCAACATTTCCCTTCAATGAACTAATTATTTCACTTTTCTCTCATTGAACTTTCTAGACGGGTCTTCAAACTTGACCCTTTTATGACTTGTGGACTTCAACTCCCAGAATTCCTCAGCCAGGCTGGCTGAGGAATTCTGGGAGTTAAAGTCCACAAGTCATAAAAGGGCCAAGTTTGAAGACCCCTGTTCTAAAGAATATCAGGTTTGATCCACACAGAATCTAATTGCTAAATAACTTGCTATGAGCTCTTGATTGCCTTGTCTCCTTTCTTTCCAAGAAGTAGCCAACAGAGATGGGACACTGTGGAGGACATTTCCTTAAAATGGAAGAAACCTGAGCTTGTTTTCTATTTGAAAAATGAAAATGTTAACAAAACAATTTTCTCCTAAATAATTGTGATTGGAGGCTGAGAAAGCAGTGACTTGAGCAAGGAAGCAGGAGAAATCAACATGTCTGGCTATCATATCTGGGCTGAAAAAAATCCAAATAACCATTAGATGGTACCAGAAATTAGAGTTAGTGAATTTATTTGTTGCTATCTAACAGTTTGTACTCCTTGCAATGTTGTGTTTTCATCTACTCTCCATTATTCTGCTGGATATTTTTTTCTATTCTACTAATGGAAAAAGGGAAAGTACCAATTCTGAATAAAAGATCCTTTGTGTTGATGGTTGCTTATTTAAAATCAAGAGAAAAGCAAGGCAGGAGTCAAAGCAGATTTATTACAGAAAATCTTTGTTTACTTGCACATGTATATCCATGTACCTAACTGATCCCGGAAATACAGAGATCTTATATAGAGGTGTAGAGCGCATTATCTGTGAGCTTACCCTGAGTAGTTAGCTTATAGGTGAATCAGGAGGAAGAAGCAATTACAGATCAACCCATGCTGAAGATTTGTGGACTTTGTGAGATTTTGGCATTTTATTCTATTTTTTTTATAATGGAAAAGGAGAACTTAACTTTTTGAGGATCTGATGAGTTCTTTGTGGTAAGATTAAAAATGTAATATTTCCTCAAATTAAGGTCAGCTTCTGATATCTACATGGGCATGTCCATGTAATTTATTGGGAAAAATATGGAAGTGATGTGCATTTTCCTCTTCTTGTTCCTTTCTTAGCCCTTACCCTGGGACTTCTTGTTGTGTTAGGGGTAATCTCAATTTGTTCCAGCATTAGTGTAAGCCAGTAAATATTTTTCAAGGGCAGGAATGCATGTCATCTTCCCAGCCCACCAGGAAGGCAACTTCTGCTAAGTTTTCCCTCTATGTATTAAAAGTAGCATTTATGGCTTGTGCTTGCTGAAGCTATGTTATCCATTTTGCTTGCTATTCTTCATTCTATTGTAGCAAGTGTTTCCACTCTAATTGGCTACTGTGCATTATATCAGGAATGCCCCTCCATGGACATTTTTTAATGAGTTCACTGATGGAGCAATGAAATGATAGATTTCTTTTTTATTTAAAGAAACCGGATGAAATTAACAAGAGTTCTACCACTTTTTTCTGCTAGGTCAAATCACAGGATAAATTGCAAAACTTTTTTTTCTTTTCATTTTTTAAAAAGTCTATGATGTATAAAAAAGGACTATAATAAATGCAGTCCAAACAGTATCAGGCCATCTCTATGTCCAAAGCAAAGAAAGAGATTAAAATCTGGAAAGGGATTTCTTAGGCCATTTTCATTTCTACCTCATTTACATATGGGAGTCAGTGATAAGGGAAGGCTCCTGATCCTGAAAATACAGGTAGACAAGTAGGAATTTTGCAGGTTCATGACAAAGGACTAAGAACCAAATCAAATGTTGGAGGTATATCCATATTAACCACCACTACAATCAATATGTGCCCAGGGAGCTTGTTTAATATAGATCTCAGACAGCACAAAAACAGGTTCAAGGTAGAATTAAAAGAGTCAAATAATGTGGGAAATAAAAGGATTTTTTCCCTTTACCTGTTTTTTTCTGAATGAGGATTTTTTTTACATAGACATTTCCAAGTCTTTCCCTAACCTGACTGTAATGGCTTAAAAAACAA